GGGATGCAGCCCACGTCCTTGCCTAGAGCAGTGCTCTGAAGGTGTTTGGGGTTTGTGATCACTGACTGGGGCTGGCCTCAACAATTCTCTCATGAAAGGACCTCCAGGATGTTTTGGAAACGTTTTTGAAAAGTTCACTTTAGGCCAGGTACACCTATAATCCCAGCACTTTGGGAGGCCACGGTGGGGAATCACGAGGTCAGGAGTTCAAGACCAGCCTTGTCAATATGGTGAAACCCCATCTCTACTAAAAATACAAAAATTAGCAGGGTGTGGTAGTGCACACCTGTAGTCTCAGCTACTAGGGAGGCTGAGACAGGAGAATCGCTTGAACCTGGGAGGTGGAGGTTGCAGTGAGCCGAGATTGTGCCACTGCACTCCATCCTGGGTAGCAGAGCAAGACTCCATCTCAAAAAAAAAAAGAATGAAAAAGAGAAACACACTTTAGTTCTCTGGCTTCTCAGTGTCCCAGAAGCACTACTTTGTTTTGCTCTCACTTCCCCTGTTTAAATATGTCTGCTAGTGAGTCAGGTTCCTGCAAGCTTTTATTCTAGGAACTGTTCCAGTTTTTCCCTTTATCTTTGTCCTACAAGATATCTGCAGTTGGAGAAGAAAGCCATTACTCTGGAGTGGGAGGTGCCCTCAGCAGCATTCAAGTTTTCAAATCCTGAGGGGCTGGCTTCTCGGAAGCACAGAGAATTTTGCTCATTGTGTGTGTAGTTGCCAAGTGTAGGTAGGTTTCATCGGAAACTGGCTACACTAGGCTGTCATGGCAACCTGATCATCAAATGACACTGTGGCCACAGCTGCCAATGAGGTTTGAGAGCCTTAAGGGTGGGTGGGGTTTGCAGCTGGATGCTGGCAAGGCTCCCTCCACATATTAATATTTCTGGCTCAGTCTGAGTCATTGCAGAGGAGGGGAGAGGAACTTTCTGACCTAATGCTACACTCCCAGAGACACTGTACCTGCCCTGTTCTTATTCATGATATTCCAGCCCTTACAGGAAGCACTTGCTTTCTTCTGGCATGTAACAGAGTGGTAGTACAAGGAAAGCTTTTGGTGGCATTGGCAGATTTGCCGTGAGAAGATGCTCAGGAAAGGAACTGCTACTTTATTGATTAATTGCAATCTGATGCCACCGAATCCTAAGGGACCTAGTGTTGCTGTCACGATTTCCAAACACTAGTCACAGGAATGGACATCGGAGGAGCTGAAACAGACGGGGGTCTGTGCCACCAAGTCAGAATAATAAAGAACAGAGAGGAATCACACACAATGTGTGCTGTGCCCAGATCTTGGAGTGCTGAGCGGGCCGGTGTGAAACATCAGGGCTGAAACCCAAGGCCTGCTTTAGTTCCTCCGTAATCTAGTTCTCATAGAGGTGTTCAGAAGCTGTGATACAAGCACCGTTTTTGGTTGTTTTTAGAAAGGGCTCAACTTGCTCAAGTTACACCTTTCCCACACACCTGCTGCCTTCCAGTATGAGGTATTACCTACTGTCATTCCCAGTGTCTGGCTTACTGGCATTCTTTGTGAACTGAATACTGAAATCTCAGTTTTGGGTGCTGTTTGAAGTGGATGTTGTAACAGGAGCCCTGGGTGCGAGGCCCTGCCCTGCATTGACAGGCTTTGGGAATTGGGCAAATCAGGTCACCTCTCCCAGGCCTGTTTGCTCCACTCAGAGATTAAGGGATGATCCCAGAGCCCCTCTGGGCCCCACAGTCTGCAATTCCAGAAATAGAGCAGTTGTCCTGGACACTAGGCACCTGGAGATTGGCTTATTTGGATAGAATTCTCCATTTTTGCATGAAGATGGAGTTCTGAATTGCCTGTGGAACTCAGTAGGACGGATAATTTAAATAAGCAAATGCCAGTTGAAGTTTATCCAATGAAGACATTCTGTGGGACCCACTCACAGCAGCAAATAGGTTAGAACTCTTTTTAAAAATTAATGTTGGAGTAGAATTGATGTTAGTATCGTAAAATAACATCTTGACAAGTGCGTGCAGACCATTTCAGAGAACATTTCCTGACCCCATGATACTGTTGGTCTGTGAAGAGCTTTGTTATGATCAAGGAGATTCCATTCTTTTTTTTTTTTTCTAGAAAACAATTGATCCTATTTCATAATCTTTAATAATTTTGCCTTATAATATAGAATATAAGTTTCAGGCTGGGCACGGTGGCTCACGTTTGTAATCCCAGCACTGTGAGAGGCCAAGGAGGGCAGATCACTTGAGGTCAGGAGTTTGAGACCAGCCTGACAAACATGGTAAAACCCTATCGCTACTAAAAATACAAAAATTAGCTGGGCATGTTCGTGGGTACCTGTAGTCCCAGCTGCTCAGGAGGCCGAGGCAGGAGAATCGCTTGAACCCAGGAGGTGGAAGTTATAGTGAGCTGAGATTGTACCACCGCACTCCAGCCTGGGCGACAGAGTGAGATTCCATCTTAGGAAATAAAAAGAAGAAGAAGCATACATGTTTCACTTTTATTTAGTATCATTTTCAAATCTCTTCTCAGATTTCTTTTGTTAAATACGTTCTAAAACTCAATAGTACAGTTATATGTCCCATAATTATTTTTAAAATACACTTTATTAGAAAATGAAATATTCAATTGAACTTACTCAAAAATTTTTGCTTTTTTATATTAGAATGACTACAGTCATCACTAAAATGAGAGACTTAACAGATCTGTGTAATTTATTTTAGTTTCAGAAGCAAACATGAATAATTTAACAAAGGAAGACTAGCTTTTTTTTTTTTTAAAGGGCAACATCTCATTCTATAAAATAGAATGAGCATTCCTGACGACAAGCGTTTTAAGGCTTAGCTCTTTTTTTTTTTTTTTTTTTTTTTTTTGAGATGGAATCTCACTCTGTCACCCAGGCTGGAGTGGTGCAATGGCACAGTCTCGGCTCACTACAACCTCTGCCTCTCAGGTTCAAGTGAGTCTTCTGCCTCAGCCTCCCAAATAGCTGGGATTATAGGCGTCTGCCACCACGCCCAGCTAATTTTTGCATTTTTAGTAGAGACAGGATTTCACCATGTTGGCCAGGATGGTCTCGATCTCCTGACCTTATGATCCACCCACCTCAGCCTCCCAAAGTACTGGGATTACAGGCATGAGCCACTGTGCCCAGCAACTTGAACCTTTTTTAAAATAAAATAATAGAGGCTAGGCTCAGTGGCTCATGCCTGTAGTCTCAGTACTTTGAGAGGCCGAAGCAAGCAGATCACTTGAGGCCAGGAGTTGGAAACCAGTCTGGCCAACATGGTGAAATCTAGTCTCTACTAAAAATACAAAAATTAGCCAGGCATGGTGCTGGGTGCCTGTAATCCCAACTACTTGGGAGGCTGAGGCACCAGAATCACTTGAACCTGGGAAACAAAGGTTTCAGCCTGGGTGACAGAGTGAGAGTCTGTCTCACTAATAATAAAAATGATACATTATCTTGTTCATTTCAGTATAATGCCTTGACAACTCTATTTGCAGGTGCTCAGAAAAATAGGCCTTCGTCAAGCACGATCATAAGTTTGTTTCTGGGGGTCTTAGAGGCCCCCCTGAGCCAATTCACTCATTTGGAAGCTGTTTGTGAAGCACCTTACTTGATCAAGCAAGAGGTTATTTCCAGACAAGGAGGTCCAAGGGTTTGAAGCAGGAGCCTTCTACCTTCAAGGACCATGGTGGTAGAGATAAGATGCATGTTAAAATAGCCCAAGGCAGAACATTCCGGATTGTGCAGCTTAAGAGACAGCTGAGTGTCATGGATTTAGTGGAGGCTGAGCAGGAATCTGCCTGGATAATCCAGTGAAACCTCATAGGATCTGCCACTGGGATGGTCCAAGACCTGTTCTCACAGACTCATTACCAGATCTCTGTTAGAAGGGCCTAAATGTCATATCACTTGTCATAATCTCTGTTTCATAATGTTGTATGTAAGTATCAACATCTTCTAACACCCTCTTTACGAGTTAACAACAAGCTTTTTAGTGCATTAAGAAGTCCTTTTACTTCTGTGATCCCCAAGTAATAACTATCCATTTTTATCCATCCCAGTAGTGGGAAGATGTAGTCTATATTAGGAAGTGGTGCACTGTGGAAGGAACAAGGGTGAGACTGAGCCTGTTCTCATCTTGGTGACGTGGTCTCTTCCTCCGCAGCACGAATCAGGGGGGAAGGAAGGAGTGGAGAATTCAGCCCGGCCTGCAGAGGATCGTCCTTCCCTGAAAAGGTTGTTCTAGAGCTGTGTTGCCCAGTGGAAGTTTCTGTGATGGCGGAAATGCCCAGTGACTATGTGTGGCTATCCTGGGGAACTGAGTTTGTTCATTTCATTTTATTTTAATGAATTCACTTTTTTTCTTTTTTTTTTTTTTTGAGATGGAGTTTTGCTCTTGTTACCCAGGCTGGAGTGCAATGGTGCGATCTTGGCTCACCGCAACCTCCACCAACTGGGTTCAGGCAATTCTCCTGCCTCAGCCTCCTGAGTAGCTAGGATTACAGGCACGCGCCACCGTGCCCAGCTAATTTTTGGTATTTTTAGTAGAGAAGGGGTTTCACCATGTTGACCAGGATGGTCTCAATCTCTTGACCTCATGATCCACCTGCCTTGGCCTCCCAAAGTGCTGGGATTACAGGCGTGAGCCACCGCGCCTGGCTACTTTTTTTTCCTTTATTGCCAGAGTTCTTTTGGCTATTAATGAATTTACTTTTTTTTGAGACACAGTTTCACTCTTGCTCAGGCTGGAGTACAATGGCGCAATCTGAGCTCATTGCAACCTCCGCCTCCTGTGTTCAAGAGGAGCCCACTGCTATACCCAGCTAATTTCTGTATTTTTGGTAGAGATGGGGTTTCACCATGTTCGTCAGTCTGGTCATGAACTCCTGACCTCGGGTGATCCGCCTTCCTCGGCCTTCCAAAATATTGGGATTACAGGCATGGGCCACCATGCCCATTTGGCTATGGCTTTATATTTAAAAAGCTTCTGTGTTGAAGAGCAAAGTTCTAGCTGAGACTAAGACTGGACTTCTACGTGTTCTGAGTAGACATGGGCATTGAAGACTGTGGGTCTCATGTGAGGCCTTGGCTGACCCCAGATTGATGCTTATGGGGAGTCCTTCAGCATGGTGTCCTCTTCCCATCCGCATCATGTCAGCTCCTGGGCACTCTGGGGCCCCCAGGCGAAAGCTGGTTCCTCAGTGTTCACATTGCAGAATGGCCTGGAAAAGGTTTCAATGCACTGATCACATGTGGGCTGTGAAGGGCACATGTGGCCTATGGAGGTTCCCTGAAGCAGGAGCCAGCTAGAACTGTGCCAGGAGCCATGTGTGGCCAGGGCCTCGGCCAGCCAGGGCAGCTCCCCTGCAGGATACATGGACCCGTGGTGGGGTCCACTTTTCAGGATGGCAGGGTACCTGGCTCTCAGCCACCCCTCAGCCTCCTCTCACAGCTGAACTGGACCCATTTTCAGTGGCAATCAGCTCTGTCTCGCTCTATCTACTGATCTTTTGATTGGGAATGATTTACTAAAAGGAGAAAACCGTTGTGTTGTATGACGAGTTTGGGGATCTTGTGTGAAAACAGGCGGCTGTTTGTTCATTTGGAGGGGTTGGCAGCCAGAGGGTGAAGGTTTGTTTGGGCTCTGTACCTCGTATCCAGGCAGGCAGAATGCGACACCCAGCCTCTTCTCCAAGAGTTAACTGCAGGGAGGGAGCTGTGACGTCAGCCCTGATCTTTGTGCCTCTCACTTGAGCAACCTGATGCGCCTTCTCCCCCGGGCTCTGTGTTCATTGGCTGTTAGCAGACCTGTCGTGGGAGGGTTTTTTTCTTCTTCTTCTTTTTTCAATTAAGTAAAAGGGTGGGACTTAAGCAGCCAATGATAGCTGAGGCCCGGCTTGTCTTATGCAACTTTCCCGGGACCGGCTGCATTTAGAGAACTTGCTCCTGTGGCGAGGGCAGCAGAGCACCCAGCAGGCCGCCAGCATGCTCTGCCTGTGCCTGTATGTGCCGGTCATTGGGGAGGCCCAGACCGAGTTCCAGTACTTTGAGTCCAAGGGGCTCCCTGCCGAGCTGAAGTCCATCTTCAAGCTCAGTGTCTTCATCCCTTCCCAGGAGTTCTCCACCTACCGCCAGTGGAAGCAGGTCTGTGGGGGACTGCGCAGGAGGGAGAGGCGCATTCAACCGGTATTTGTTGAGTGAATGGCTGAGCGTGCATGAACCGTCCCCTGCCGAGAAGAAAGAATGTCTGAAATGTAGGAGTTTTTCCCATTGTCTTGTGGCTATGGCCGGCACGTGTACGTCACCGGAGTGACTGGTTTTCATGTGACTTCCCGGGAAGGCTGGAATTCTAGCAAAGGCTGCTATGGGAGATGGGCTTTCGGAAAGGAAATTCCTTTTGCTGGAATGAGGGGGTTGTTCCTGAGAAGTACAGGGCCCCAAAGGGGTCTAGGGGCAGGCCAGGAACACATGGGAGAAGGCAGGGAGGCCCAGGAGTTGGGAGGGTGCTACGGGGTGGAGCTGCCCGTCCCTGATGTGGGGGTGAGAAGCCTTCTCGACCCTCAGACATCCCTGGGGAGCAGGGCCTGTGTCCGCCCTGAAGGTGGGGAAGCTGAGCTGCGGAGTCTGGGGGCCCCTTCCCTCCTCAGCTTCTCCTTCTCGGGTAATCAGCTTCCCTGATACCCACCCCCCCATGCCCACTGGGCACTGAGGAGGAGCTGCATATCCAAGGAAGGAGACAGAAGGAGTCCCAGGCCCTGTGAGGCAGAAGCAAGCACTTTGAGAATGTGTTGAAGCCAGCTGCGGTGAGCACACCCTCCGCTCCGGTTGTCTGTGCGGCAGTGCCCACCCCAGGGAGGCATGTGACTCACCCTGGCAGCAGGCAGCTGGGTACCAGAGGGCTCTGTGCTTAATATTCACCTCCTCTGTAAGTGGCTTTTCCACTCTATTTCCATTCCTGTCAGGGATCTGGAGCAGTCACCCTATAGGTGATTTATGTCACCCTTGGCTGAGAGCACAGATGTGCACAGGAAGTTAAATGTAACCTCAGATAGCAGATAAAACATGTCCGAGCATCTGTCCCACATTCCAGCCACACCCCTCGCATTAGCCTTTTGATCACACCAGGTCATGGGGTATCTGTCCAGGCCTCCCTGCCCCTGGCACTCTTGGCAGCTGAGGAATCACAAGGCACTGTCAGTAGTGTGTCTAAGAGAGAGGCATGGGGGTGATCCTTTGGGGGCCAAGCTAGCCAGTGGGACATCCGTTTCCAAACCCCCAACTGGCTGTCAGTGATTTCTCTTGGTGAGAAGTGTGGAGACACAGGAAGACCATAGCATCTTCCTTGGGAGATTCTCGGTTCCAGTTTTGGGTTCCAGATTCAGGGTGTAGCTGAGTTAGGGTGACTCACTTTCATCCCCCACATTCTGGAGGTTAGCCTCCAGGATGGCGGCAGGATCTGCAGGGAGGCGGCCTGGGAGGACCACAGCCTGACTTGCGTCCCGCCCACCACTTCCCTAGCTGTCTGACCTTGTGTAAATATTTAGCCTCTCTCAACTCCTGTTTCCTTCTCTGTAAAATGGGGGAAATGACATTTCCTACCTCCTAGAGCTGTTTGCGAGGGGCGAGTGTTATTAGAAGCAAAGCATCTCCCCTGCGGCCCTTGCTAGGTGCTGGGGAGAGGCGCGCTCTCATGAATTCCCAGTTGCCAGGCATCCAAAACCATTAACAGGTGCTGAACGAAGTCTACCTCCTGGGAAGTGGGGACATGGTGGGGGTACTTTTGGAACCTCACAGCCAAGGAGCAGAGTCTCTTGGGTCACTGAAGTGGTTTTCAGTGACTGATTGAGAGAGCCAGGGTGGTAGTATTACCTAGCTTCCCGGAGAGCAAGGACTGGCAGTACCGTCAAGCACATACCCTTGGCTCCCTACACGTCCCCAGCCTCGGGTGCTCTCCGGCAGGGTCTGGCTGTGCCCCCTATTTTCACCCTGGCCACCAAATTATTCTGAGACTAGTGCCACCTTTAGGAGAGAAAGAGCAAGCTGCAGCGTTCTTATCAGAAATGGCCATCCCCACGTCTCAGCAGGGAGCATGTGTGGTTGAAGCATGGGTCCAGGGACCCAGGGACAGCACTGCAGTGGGTCCAAGCAGCTAACCCCGGCTGTATAGCAGGAGGGTCTTCAGACTGAGAGTGCACCCAGCTGTCCCTGTTAGCCTCTGTCCAGAGGGCTCTTCCTGGGCTCCTTGTTCCCTCTCTGCTTGGGAGGGAGGTTCTGGCTAGCACTTGGGGCTCTAGGTGGTGGCGCTGGCATGAGTCAATTGCCATGGTGGCTCTGGGGGTAGAGCAGAAGCATCTTGGGGCCAGGTCTGCTCATGGATTAGTGCAGTCATTGCCTGGGGACAGGGCCCCACAAGGGACAAGGAAAGGCTGGTCCAGGAACCAAAACCCAAAACCTTACTTTTATTTTCTAGAAAATTGTACAAGCTGGGGATAAGGACCTCGATGGGCAACTAGACTTTGAAGAATTTGTCCATTATCTCCAAGATCATGAGAAGAAACTGAGGCTAGTGTTTAAGAGTTTGGACAAAAAGAACGATGGTAAGTGCTGCCTTCAGAGCTGCAACTGGTCCAGCCTCGGGTCCCCCGTGCGCCCGGCTACTGCTCACAGCCTCTGTTCTTGTAGGACGCATCGACGCACAAGAGATCATGCAGTCCCTGCGGGACCTGGGAGTTAAGATATCTGAACAGCAGGCAGAAAAAATTCTCAAGAGGTGAGTGCTCAGCCAGCCTCTGCATTTGGATTAAGTGTGACGAAAGGAAGACTCTGGACTAACCCTGCGATGCCATTCCCTGTGCTGACCCTGTTGCTCTGAACTTGGCCTTCTCATGGTTTGAAAGGATGAATAAGTAACCCCCCCTGGAGGCCAGCCCCTCTGCAGGCTTGCAGGCCAGCTTTCATTTGAGGAATCACAGATCACCTGGAATTTTGCCCATCGGCCAGCAGCCCATGAAGTGAAAACTAATTTGGGGGTGGTTCAAGTAGGTAAAAGGCCAGCACGGAGCACCTGTGCATGTGTTGGGGGTGGTGCAGAGAGGCTCGCGCTGCAGCCTTTATCCCAGGTAAATTTCTTCCCCATGCTGGTAACTTGCACTTAATGCTTTAGTCAGAGGTGCTGCTCCAAAAGATAGCTCCCTGGTGAGGAGCAGCTGCCAGGAAATCGCACGGAACAGCCCCAGAGTCGCTGTCTGTCCTGTCTGGGCCTTCCCAACACCCTGTGGACTGAACGTTGGCTGGTCCTCGGGGACAGCAGCCCTGGCACCCTCTCCTTGGTCTCCTGGCTGGCCTTCCCAAAACCCTGCGGGCTGAGGACTGGCTGGTCCGCAGGGACAGCAGCCCTGGCGCCCACTCCCTGCGTTCAGTCGCTGTGGTGGGCTCATCTCATGCCGTGCTGTGCCCACGTCTCTGGGTGTGTGCTTGCTTCACTAACATGGCTCCGAGCACTTATGTGTATTGTTTCTCCTCTCTCCTCTGCATCCTTTGTCTGTCTGTCAGAATACGAACGGGCCATTTCTGGGGCCCTGTCACCTAGTAAGTATCCGTGTAGCTCGTGACTGCCTCCCTTGACTTCTGTGCCTGATCAGAATGGGGTTCTTGTGGGCCATTATATTCCCATTGTTGTGCTAAGTGGGGTGTGGAGCCCCCTGCCCTTTCTTCTGGGGGCAGAGGTGCCTCCTGTGTTTTCTGGGCAGCCAAGGCACCTGCCCTTGGTTCACTGGGAGGTGGTTGGGGGGTTGCAGTTGGCGGGTGGGCATGTGGACCCGTGGGCAGCCTCGCCTCTGTCTTGCAGCATGGATAAAAACGGCACGATGACCATTGACTGGAACGAGTGGAGAGACTACCACCTCCTGCACCCTGTGGAAAACATCCCGGAGATCATCCTCTACTGGAAGCATTCCACGGTGAGCCCTGCGCCCCAGGGGCCCTGAGCCCAGCGCCACTCAGAGTGTGGCTGAGGCTTTCCAGCCGCCTCCTCTTCCACAGGAGCCTGTCCCCTCCTCTGCCAGCCCAGTAGAGCTCTCCACATGCTCCCCGTTCTGGCACCGGCCAACCTGAACAGCCCCATCATTCACACACAGGGTTCCTCTTCCAGCAACACCTTGTGTCCCCACATGCCCGCTGCTCTTCGTGGGCCACTTCAGGTGCCCCTTTCCACGGTGCTGCCTGTTCTCCCAAAGCTGGTGTGACCCTTCCTCCCAGGGGGAGGGGGCGGGGGCAGAAGCTACTCTGCAGAGAGCTATGAGGTGTCCCCACGGTGGCACACTTGCTGCCCGTTCACCCCTCTGTCCACTGTGGTTTCATGTTCAGAAATGCGAGTCTGTGTCAGCCTCTGCCCCTGAGCCCTTCAGCGTGGCACGTCCCTCTCTTGAGTCCTGGTGTGCAGTCCTGTCCCCCTGGACCAGCCACTCCAGGAGGGGAGGCCAGAGGTGCTCCTCATCTGCCTTTCACAGTGCCAGGCCAGGATTTGTTGAGTGAACTTAAGTGGACAGCTCAGGGGTGGGAGCAGCTGGCCCAGAGCTCTGGCCTTTAGCCCTGGGATCTGAGCAGAGGTGGCTCTGATCAGCCCGGATGCCACTCGGGGAGAGGTTACGCAGGCAGCGAGTCCTCATGTTTGCCGAGGGCTTGCATAATGTTCTGCCAGTGTGATCCGGTTACACGTGAGGTTTCGGACGGCTTTTACCCCAACTTGATCCCTCTAGCACAGGCAGCCTGGTGACCTCACACAGGCCTTGTGAGCTTTTCTTGCAGGAGCTCCCTAGCAGCATTGGGAAGGGTTGGTGAATGGTTTTGGTGTGTTCAGCTAAGACTCTAACCTGTGTTAGGTTGGTGAATGGTTCCTGCTGTGTTCAGCTAAGACTCTAACCTGTGCCTCTGCAGGGCCCCAGTGAGGGTGAGAGCTCTGCTGCCTTCAGAGTGGAGGGGGAGGGCCCCAGCCCCCTTCCTACCCAGGGTCCTTGTCCTTCTCCCTGTCCTGTGGTCCCTGGCCTGGAGCCATGCTAGAGGGTAGAAGGTGACTAGTGCCAGCAGCCTTGCCCCAAGGGTCCTGAATCAGGCTTGTGCCATCTTTCCTCGCAGATCTTTGATGTGGGTGAGAATCTGACGGTTCCTGATGAGTTCACAGTGGAGGAGAGGCAGACGGGGATGTGGTGGAGACACCTGGTGGCAGGAGGTGGGGCAGGGGCCGTATCCCGAACCTGCACCGCGCCCCTGGACAGACTCAAGGTGCTCATGCAGGTATGCAGGGAAAAGGCCCCAGACCGGGGGCGGGGGGCAGTTTTCACTTGGGGGTTGCTTGGCTACTTTTCCCTTTCTCTGACTGGTGCCTACTTTGGGCCAAACTTTTCCAACCCAATAAATTAGACTGGAATTCTTGCTCAGACCGGAGTACCATTGGATCTACTCTAGGTGACATTTTGTGCAGAGCAGATCTAATTTTATCTGAGGCACTTAAGCCAGGCATCACATTACAAGGGCATAACGTGGACAAGTGAAGCCAGGGAGGCTGGGTGAGGCAGGAACCAATTTCTGTAAGCACATCTTGTCCTCACCTGACCCAGACACCAGTTGGAAACCACGCCATTACCTTGGCCAGGTACACAAATCCACGTCCACACAACAGAGATAAGCTGGGCTGATGTCAAGGCAGAATTGTGAAACTGACCCACACGATACACTTGTGGACTTTGATGTCTGAATGGTGACTGGCCACCACCTGTCTCCTTGCTCGTACCTAACCTTGTTCCAGGAGCCCAGCTTGGAAGAGCTGCCTCCGTTCCCTCCCCCCTGCCTCGCTGGGCCTCCCTGTGCTGCACAGAGACAAAGGAAGCAGGTGGTTCAGGGCAGAGAGCCTTGGGTTTGGACTCTGCCTGGGGCACCACCACAGCTGCCTCCCTCCCTCTTCTGGCCTTGAGCAAACCTCTTTCCCTCCCAGGACTTCCCCTCCTCTGTGAAAATAGGGGCTTGTTTTTTTAGCAGAATTATCAGGAATGTTGTGGAGATTAAAAGCAGGCCTTGGGTTAAATGATAAAAGGCCTGGGATGTGTCTTTAAACCAGCATGGGTTGGGACAGCAGGAGCTAGAGATTGGCTGTGGTTTGATCATTGTCGAAGCCAAGTGGGCATTTATTCTATTTTTTAATATGTTTGAAGTTTTTTTTTTATAATAAACTCGATTTTTTAAAATTGTTATTTTGAGACAGAGTCTTGCTCTGACCCAGGTTAGAGTGCTGTGGTGTGATCTTGACTCACCGCAACCTCTGCCCCTGGGTTCAAGCAATTCTCCTGCATCAGCCTCCCTAGTAGCTGGGATTACAGGTGCACCACAACATGCCCAGCTAATTTCAGTATTTCTAGTAGAGACAGAGTTTTGCTATGTTGGCCAGGCTGGTCTCGAACTCCTCACCTCATGTGATCCGCCTGCCGCAGCCTCCCAAAGTGCCGGGATTACAGGCATGAGCTACCATGCCCAGCCTTTTTTTTTTTTTTTCCTGAGACAGTCTCACTCTGTCGCCAGGCTGGAGTACAGTGGCGCGATCTTGGCTCACTGCAACCTCTATTTCCCGAGTTCAAGCAATTCTCCGTGCCTCGGCCTTCCAAGTAGCTGGAATTACAAGCATGTACCACCACACCGGCTAACTTCTGTATTTTTAGTAGAAGTGGGGTTTTACTATGTTGGAGGGCTGGTCTCAAACTCCTGACCTCAAGTGGTCCACCCTCCTCAGACTCCCGAGGTGCTGGGATTACAGGCCTGAGCCTGCCCGGCCTTGTTTTTTGTTTTTTTAAAGTTATCTTTACGGAGCTTTTAAAGACAAGGCTGGCAACCAGTGGATGCCCAGTACAATCTAGCTGAACCTCACTTAGCCAGAGGGTTACTTTGGTCTCATGGTGTCAAGCTCATCTGCAAAACCCACGGAAGAAAGACCCTTCTCTTTGGCCTCAGCTGGTTGGCCAGCAGAGGCTCTTGGCTGGGTGAGGCAGCCATGTGGCCCTCGGGTCCATCTGACTACTTGCTCCTCTCTCCCAGGTCCATGCCTCCCGCAGCAACCACATGGGCATTGTGGGCGGCTTCACCCAGATGATTCGAGAAGGAGGGGCCAGGTCACTCTGGCGGGGCAATGGCATCAACGTCCTTAAAATTGCCCCCGAATCAGCCATCAAATTCATGGCCTATGAGCAGGTGAGGACTCAGCTCCCCAGAGAGTGTCACTGGCCAGCGGCTACTCGCTGCCTGTACTTGCTGGCTTTCCCTGGACTGAGCTCCCTGACACTTGGAGCCAGCCAGGGGACGGCAGGGCGAGGCGAAAGGCCTGGGCTCGCCGTCAGTTCCCTACATTTCTGGGCAGCATAAAATGTGCCAGGGACTCCAGGGCTCGGCTGAGACTGGCTCCAGGAGGAAGGGAGGGGCAGCAGCAGGTGCCCCAGCCTCTGGGTATATCAGGCGGTTTGTTTGCTCCTGGTTCTAGATCAAGCGCCTTGTTGGCAGTGACCAGGAGACTCTGAGGATTCATGAGAGGCTTGTGGCAGGGTCCTTGGCAGGAGCCATCGCCCAGAGCAGCATCTACCCAATGGAGGTGAGGGGCCGCCTCGGTCCTGGGGCAAACAGTGTGCCTGGGGCTAGGGAGAGGCACAGGCTGTGCTCACACTTCCCATTGCTCCCGTCGTGCAGGTCCTGAAGACCCGGATGGCGCTGCGGAAAACGGGCCAGTACTCGGGCATGCTGGACTGCGCCAGAAGGATCCTGGCCAGAGAAGGGGTGGCTGCCTTCTACAAAGGCTATGTCCCCAACATGCTGGGCATCATCCCCTACGCAGGCATCGACCTAGCAGTCTACGAGGTGAGCTCAAGAGGGCTCAGGCCCCTGGCCCAAGCCAGACAGGTTTAGAAACCCCTCCCAGCGCACCTCCGCCTGCTATCTCCCTCCTTGACGGACGCATGGTTAGTGCAGGAAACCAGTGCGTTTCCTTCCAGCTCCTCTGTTCATTGCAAGGCTTTCCTTTACCCTGTCTGTCCCTGGCAGCCCCCAGCAGCTCCTGTGAGCCCTGTCCCTAGGCTCTGTGTTGCCAGGGGCTCAGCAGGCAGATCCCCAGAGCAGGGTGGCCCCAGGGGCTCAAAGGCCCCATTACACTCCAGGCAGACCCCAAAAGTCAGCCCTTCTGTGTGGGGAAGGAGGTGTTCCCTCTGCCTTGTCCTGGAATTCCCAGTGACAGCAGAAACAGGGCAGCCAGGCCTGGGCCCGGCAGTTGGGTTCCAGTGGCCTGAGGATCCAGTAACAGCCCCACCGCCCATCTCTTGCTGCCTCACTAGCCCTTCCTAGGGCTCATCCCATGCTCCCTTCCCCTTCTAGACGCTCAAGAATGCCTGGCTGCAGCGCTACGCAGTGAATAGTGCGGACCCCGGTGTGTTTGTGCTCCTGGCCTGTGGCACCATGTCCAGTACCTGTGGCCAGCTGGCCAGCTACCCCCTGGCCCTCGTCAGGACCCGGATGCAGGCACAAGGTAAGGCTGGCCCTGAGCAGTCTTTTGGGAGGTCAGAGGGTGCAGACAGAAGCATCTGACTGGTGGTCTCTGTCCTGCAGCCTCCATTGAGGGCGCTCCGGAGGTGACCATGAGCAGCCTCTTCAAACAGATCCTGCGGACCGAGGGGGCCTTTGGGCTGTACAGGGGGCTGGCCCCCAACTTCATGAAGGTCATCCCAGCCGTGAGCATCAGCTATGTGGTCTATGAGAACCTGAAGATCACCCTGGGTGTGCAGTCGCGGTGACGGAGTAGGGAGGGCCGCCACGCGGTGAACTCGCTGATCCTGGGCCGCTGCCTGGGGTATGCAGCCATCTCATTCTGTGAATGTGCCAACACTAAGCTGACTCGAGCCAAGCTGTGAAAACCCTGGACGCACCCGCAGGGAGGGCAGGGAGAGCTGGCAGGCCCGGGCTGGGCTTGCTGACCCCAGCAAACCCTCCTATTGGTTCCAGGGAAGACCACAGGCATTCCTCAGGGTCCAGGGTCAGCAGGCTCTGGGCTCACACATGTAGGGACGGGACATTTTCTGCAGTGCCTGCCAATAGTGAGCTTGGAGGCCGGCTTAGTTCTTCCATTTCATCTTTGCAGCCAGGGGTTGGCACGGCCCCTGCCCTCTGGCCTGCCACGTATCTCCCTGTTCCCCTCTGCTTCCTGCCTCGCTGCTGATGTAATAGGGTGGGAGGAGGGCTACAGCCCACATCCCACCACGCATCCAATCCCCAAATCCATGATAAAAGGTGAGGTCACGTGGCCTCCCAGGCCTGACTTCCCAGCCTGTGGCATTGATGCCAACTTGGCTGTGCCAGGAAGAGGAAAGGGTCTGGCCTTGCGCTGACTGGCATCTGAGCCCTGCTGATGGCTGGGGCTCCTGGGCATGCATGGGAGTGCAGGGGGCTTGGGCCGCCTGACTCGGCTGCACCGAAGGCAAGTGCTGGGGCTCACGGTGCTCCGAGCTGGCCCGGGCTCTGCCACGACTGGCACCAGCTCCAAACCAAACTCCCTGTCCCCGCCGTGGCCTGAGGGCAGCGGAACACTGTGTTTGAGGGAGAAGGGCAGAGCGTTTGCGTGTCCTGGAGAGGGAAGGAAAAGGTGTTGGAGGCCTTAATTATGCATTGTTGGGAAAAGGGTTTTGTCCAGAAAGACAAGCTGGACAAAGGAGCGAGTTCTGTGCTTCCCAGAGGAAGACAAGGGAGCCGGGAGTTTGGCTGTCTGCTCAGAGTCTGTTCTGATGTCCCTGGGGGTTCCTGTCCAACCCCTGCAGGGGCACAGCGGGACCAGCCTCACATTCCACTCGTGTCACTGCTTGGAACCTATTTATTTTGTATTTATTTGAACAGAGTTATGTCCTAACTATTTTTATAGATTTAATTAACAGCTTGTCATTTTCAAGTTCATTTTTTATTCATATTTATGTTCATGGTTGATTGATTGTACCTTCCCAAGCCCGCCCAGTGGGGTGGGGAGAGGAGAGGAAGGAGCGGCCTTGGGCAGCCATAGTCTCAGAATTTCAGAGAAATTCTTCTTGGAACTGAAGGCAGAGGAGCGGCCAGAAGGCGGCAGCCCTGGCTTCTTTCCTTTGGCAGATTAGGGAAGGACTTGCCCCCGGCCCGGGGAGCCTTAGGATTTCAAGGTTTGACTGGGAGCTTGAGGGGGGATCCCCAATAAACTTGAAGGTGGAAGTCCAGTCATCTCCTGCCCCGGGGGGTTTCCGTATTTCACCCTGAACGGCAAGGCAGTGAGGTGCCTCTCTGTGCATTTGCGGTGGGCAGGGCTGGAAGAGAGGGTCGGGGGCTGGCTCCCTCCCTCCCAGCCTTCTGCTGCCCTTGCTCAACAATGCCGGCCCACTGGCAATGCCGGCCCACTGGCAAACCTTCAATAGGATGCAAAGATCAATGCAAAAATTACTGTTCTATATGAATATATATATAGTTATAACTGGAATCATCAAAAAGCAAATTAAGAAAGAATTGGAAGTTGTCATTTAAAGAAGCCTTCTAATAAAGTTGTTTCAAAGCTTCTCATGGAGCCAGGATTTTTCTGACAGGGGCATGGGTGGTCTAGGGGTATTGACGTGTTAGATAATGAACGGGTCTCCCCTCTGAAGCCTGGGCAGCACCCCTTTGCTTCTTAGAGGCACTCCCTCTTTCATGGGTGTTTGTTCAATTTGGGGTGTGCTAACAGTCACCGGTGCCCTGAGTTGCTGTGTAGGGTCCTTCCTCAGCCTGTCTCAGAAGCAGGGGGGGGAGGGGTGGTCTCTCCTACCGCCGGAAGTGCCATCTTCACAGGGACACCAAGGACATCCCTGGGCTTCTCTCCCTCCTCCCAGCTGCCCCTCCCCAGCCTCACTCCGCTCCTACCTCCCCACACCCTCTCAGTAACCTCATCTCCCTCAGGATTACCTTTAATATCTATATTTAGATGACCCTCCTTTTATACGTGAACCAACTCCAGCCTCATCAGTATAACTGAACTCCACATCCCCTTAAACAGCACCTTGAGCGCAGTGTGTTGGAAGCCAAACCATTTTCCTCCCAAAATCTGCTTCCATTTTCCTCATGCCAGCAAAGGCAACTTCTTTCTTCTGTGAACCTAAACCAGACACCCTGTAGTCAGCCTGACTCTGCACTTAACCTCTGTTCTAGGGCAGTCCACCAGCAAATACCCTCAGCTCCACCTTCAAAGTAGATCTGCTCTCTGACCGATTCTCATGACCTCCACCCCTGCCACCGTCAAAGGCAATGTCATGTCTCGCCTGAACTATTGCAAGACCTAAACTACTTCCCCTGCTTCCCTTCACTCTCCACCCCAAGCCCAAGGGACCCTTCGAAAACCTAAGTGCATAGCCAGGCGTGGTGACAGGTGCCTGTAGTCCCAGCTACTCGGGAGGCTGAGGCAGGAGAATGACTTGAACCCGGGAGCAGAGGCTGCAGTGAGCCAAGATCACGCCACTTCACTCCAGCCTGGGCAACAAGAGTGAAACTGCGTCTCAGACAAAAACAGAAAAGAAATAAGAAGGGGCCGGGTGTCATTCTCCATCTGTCTTTTCTCTCCCCTGCACTGTTCAAGTCAATTATGCTACTTATTTTCATTGCCAGGTTTCATTCTGTTCCCTCACCCTTAAATGTGAACTCCTTAAGGGTGGCCATGTCTGTCGGCTTTGTTCACTGCTGCTCCCAGCACCTGGAGCCTGAACAGTGTTCAGTGAATCCTTAACATCCAGGCGTTTCTTAGTGTCATCAACAGAATTATGCCCCTGCCACAAGATGTCCACGTCCTAATCCCTAGAACCTGTGAATCCCATTATATGGCCAAGGGGAATGAAGGTAGCAGATGGCATGAAGGTTGCTAATCAGCTGACCTTCAAACAGGGAGATTATCCTGAGTGTGATCACAAGGGTTCTTCAGTGTGGATAAGGAGGCAGGAGAGAGAACAGAGACACAGCATGAAAAGGACTCAGCCCTCTGCTGCTGGCTTGAAGGTAGAGGAAGGGGCCACAAGCCAAGGAACACAGGCAGCCTCCAGAAGCTGGAAGGATACAGAAGCTCCAGAAGGAACACAGCCCTGCAGACACCTTGATTTTAGCCCCATGAGGCCCATTTCAGACTTCTGACCTCCAGAACTGTGAGATTATAAACCTACATTATTTAAGCCACTTCCCACCTACTGGCCCCCTGGTGGAGATAAAATCCCCTTAGGGTTTTTTTTCTTTTCTTTTTTTAAGACAGAGTCGCTCTGTTGCCAGGCTGGAGTGCAGTGGCGCAATCTCAGCTCACTGCAACCTCCACCTCCTGGGTTTAAGCGATTCTTCCGCCTCAACCTCCCAAGTAGCTGGGACCACAGGTGCGTGCCACCACGCCTGGCTAATTTTTGTATTTTTAGTAGAGATGGGGTTTCACCATGTTGGCCAGGATGGTCTTGATCTCTTGACCTCTTGATCCACCTGCCTCGGACTCCCAAAGCGCTGGGATTACAGGCCTGAGCCCCTGTGCCCGGCCCTATTCAGGGTTTCTAACCATAGTCCTGGGCAGGGAAGGGCACAGGGGAGAGGGGGCACATCCCAAGGTCTGATTCGAGGCACGATGCTCCCCCAGGCCCACCTGAATCCAGCTGGCATAGAAGCTCCAGGGGAGCCCTGGGGCAGGGGTAGGGTGGGTGGTTGGCAGACCCCTCCTCTTCCACGAGGAAGCCCAAGCTCTGTGGGGCCCTCTCAGACACTCAGGTCTGTGGGGACACAGTCGCAGCTGCCTGCTCTCAAGGAAGGCCCCAACAACCCGGAGCTGGGCCACCCTGGTCCAGAGAACAAGGGGTCAAGGCAGCTGCAGAGTGGCTTCCCATAGACAGACTGGGACAGTCCAAGTCCCTGTTCCACAGCATCCAAGCTGAGTGACCTTGGGCAAGTCACAACACCTCTCTGAGCCTGTTTGCTTGTCCATTAGATGAGAAGAGCAAGATAAGCCTGGGAGGGCTGTTGGAAAGTTGAACTGAAACGAGGCAGGAAATGGGATTTGAGCCGGTCCTACTGGCTTCATCTCCCAGCTGCCCTTCTTCTCCGGCATTCAGACACACTCGCAGTAATCCCGCCTTAATCATCTCTGCCTGGGATCTCCCACATCTTCGAGAAAATTCAAAGCCAACCCAAGAGTCACCTGAGCCATGTGGTCTGGTGGGTCCTTCTTTCGGGGGCACTGCCCATGCAGGACTTCACTTAGCTCTCAGCAGGTGTAGGAGGTGCCTTGCTGCCATGTCCCCATTTCACAGACCAGGAAACTAAGGTTTCAGAAGTGGAGGGGATTGGCCAGGACCTTGGATGCAGCAGACCTCCGACTGGCAAGTGGCATGCAGGGGAGTGAAGCCGGGGTGGGCTCTGCTGGGGCCACCCACCAGGAACCGGGGGAAGGCAGAGGGCTGCTGCCCACAGCAGACCCTACAAGCTGGAACCATGCCACAACCCACCTGTGGGATCTTCGCCAAGTCAGACATGCCCCAGGGCCAGGCGCTCCTTGCCTCACCTTAGAAAGGTGGCACCTGGGCCGGACGCGGTGGCTCAAGCCTGTAATCCCAGCACTTTGGGAGGCCGAGGCGGGCGGATCACGAGGTCAAGAGATCGAGACCATCCTGGTCAACATGGTGAAACCCTGTCTCTACTAAAAATACAAAAAATTAGCTGGGCATGGTGGCACGTGCCTGTAATCCCAGCTACTCAGGAGGCTGAGCCAGGAGAATTGCCTGAACCCGGGAGGCGGAGGTTGCGGTGAGCCGAGATCGCGCCATTGCACTCCAGCCTGGGTAACAAGAGCGAAACTCCGTCTCAAAAAAAAAAAAAAAAAAAAAAAAAGGTGGCACCTGGTCTCTGGCTTCCTCCTCGCAGCCAGGAGGCCACAGAGAACCTGGGAAACGTTGGGCAGACCTGCGCTTGAACCCTGGGTCCCGGTGGTGTGATCTTGAGCAAGTCTTCTGCCTCTGTAAGCCTCAGTTTCCTCACTAGCAAGACTTCTGACAGCTCGTGGGGGAAGCAGCTGTTCTGGTTCACATAAAGGGTCAATGTGAAACAGATTCAAACCAGCTCTGTTGACGCGGAAGCCCTATTCTCACCTGGGGCTTGCCCTGCACCGCCCTAGTCCAGATTTCACAGGTCTGAGTGCATTGGAAAGTAGAGGAAGAGTGGGAACAGGTGGGGCGGGTGTGCTGGGCCCAGCTGCCCAGGTGTGGACTTTGCTACCTACAGCAGCAGCAGGCCACGTGGCCTGGGCTGGCCAGAAGCAGGCAGCAGGAAGGGCACAGCATGATAGCACCCTCATCCTGCAGACGGGGAAACTGAGGCCAGGGAGGGCTCCAGGCCTGCCCCAGTTCTCGGAGGGGCAAGATAAACCTAGGTCTCCTGCTCTCAGCTCCTCTGAACACAGGGGCTGGCCAGGGAACACTGGAAAACCTGCACTCTCTTGGTCATTAGCGATCGCCCACCAGCCCAGCCCGGTGGCCCGGGAGGAGCCATTATCACCCACGGCAGTTGTTGAGGCTGAAGAGAGACAGAGCTGGCTCCACCCATGCTAGTCAATATGGAGCACCCCTAGCAGAACCAAAGAGCCCAACGTCTCACAGATGAGGAAACTGACGCAGACTGGAAGCCCTGGGACTTGCCCAGGTCACCACGTGCGCCACCACTGTTTCTCTTCCCTGACTACCCCTGGCTTAAATCTTACATATTAGTGTCCTGGAGCAGCTTCAACCAATAACCACATACTTGGTAACTTCAAACAACACAAATAGCTGGGAGCCAGAACGCACACCTGTAATCCCAGCACTTGGGGAGGCTAAGGCAGGCAGATTGCTTGAACCCAGGAATTAGAGACCAACTTGGGCAATATAGTAAGAGCTCATCTCTACGAAAAATACAAAAATTAGCCAGGTGTGGTGGCACACATCTGTGGTCCTAGCTACTTGGGAGGCTGAGCCTGCGGGACCACTTGAGCCCGTGAGTTGGAGACCAGCCTGGGCAACATAGTGAGAGTCTGTATCTGCAAAACATTAAAAGAAAAATTTTTCTGGCCGGGCGCGGTGGCTCACGCCTGTAGTCCCAGCACTTTGGGAGGCCGAGGCTGGCGGATCACGAGGTCAAGAGATCTAGCCGATTCTGGCCAACATGGTGAAACCCCGTCTCTACTAAAAATACAAACATTAGCTGGGCGTGGTGGCTCACGCCTGTAATCCCAGCTACTCGGGAGGCTGAGACAGAAGACTGGCTTGAACCCGGGAGGTGGAGTACTGGGACAAGTCCTAACATGTATGATAAAGTATGTTGTTTGCTGAGAACGACGGCAAGGCAAACCTGGCCGACCCCCCGCCCCACAATTGGAAAACTACTTGGGGCATTCTAAAGTAGCAAAACAGTATATGTACATCATACACCGGTTAAAACAATTATTTAAGCACGGGATACGTGACCCTGCCCCCGGGGCTCCCTCGTGGAGAATACTTTTTACCTTGTCTGTGATCAATGGTAAGCAGGCACCAGCTGCCT